TGTATGTTTGGCATACACTAGTCCTCATGAAATTCGCATTCAGACAAGATTTTCTTTGAAGACGTCCTTTCCAGTCTGTCTCGAACAGTTGAGAGGATGTTGAATCTGAGAATTGTCGACTTTGAAGACCGATCATTTGGAAGTCAGCTAAGTGAGGCCGCTTCATTTGACTATGATGCCAAACCAAAAATGGTGAACGTATCATCGTTTCTCGAAAGTATGTGACACTGACGACCGCATAGGCTGCCGTACCTTATCAGATATTAGGTCCATACCTTGTGAGTGGGAGGGTTATGCAGGAAAATTGACCTCCAACCTACCAAATTTTCTTATCAGAACGGACCTTTGATAATTGATACTGTGGGTTCCTATTGCTTCAGTCCTGATGTTCTGATATTTTCTCGTCGAGGCAGAATTTTGGTTCAACTCAACCGGCAGCACAACAATCTTGATCCCCTGTCTGCATCTGCATTTTCATTTGCATTTTAACATTCGCATGTATTTGTGTTTCAGGTGCATATTTTCTCCTTGGTTTCAAGAGAGATGTCGTCTACAAGTTCCCGACACCAGATATAGGGCCTTTGCTTAATCTCACTGCCATAGCTGATCATAGTGTCATGGAAGATTTCAGAAAAGATTATGGGAAGATTTTGAGCTACGTCTGCAAGATCTCAAGATATGAGTTGGGAGGTATTCACACGCTACTGTAGTTTTATAATACTCAGTTGCATTGCTTCACTTTCCCAAGGTACGTCTTGTTGCCAATCTTGGAGGAGTTTGCTCAGTTATTGGGAGTCCCGGTCTTGGAGGAAATGCCTTTCTTCCACTTTGAAGCAGAACCTGACTTGACCAAACTGGCTAGTGCTCTTCATTTGGGTATCTTTGAGTTGGATGGCAAGTTGGTGTGGAGAGGTGGAGTCCCCAGTTTTCTGTTGTCGTTCTTGGTGAGTAAGGCTCAACACTTTGCACAAGAGGGTTATTGGTCAGTTTTCAATGTTATCTTGGCACTCTGCATTTATGGAATAGTCTTGTTCCCTAATATCCCAAACTTTGTGGATTTGGATGCTTTTTACATTTTCGCTTCTAAGAACCTTGTGCCTACTCTCTTAGGAGATCTCTACCATTCTGTGCACTACAAGAATGAGAACAGAAGAGAGAAGAATGTCTCATGTTGTGCGCCACTTCTTTACAGATGGTTTATGTTACATCTTCCTAAGTCTGGACCTTTTGTTGATACTGCAGACACAGTTGATTGGTCAGAGAGGCTCATGGGCTTGACTTCAGGGAACATTGTGCGGTTCAACAAAGATCTGCTTGGGAGTGATGTTATCTTCAGTTTTGGAAGCTTCCTCAATGTTCCTTTGATAGGAAGGAAAGGTGGCCTCAATTATAATCCTGCTATTGTCGTCAGACAATTTAGCTACGCCTTGAGAGAACCCCCGAAGGAAGAGGAAATACAGGAATCTCTGTATTTCACAGGGTTGGCTGATAATGATACTCTAACTAGTTTGAAGAAAGCCTGGAGTAACATTCATCGTAGAGGAAAGCCTTCCTTGGGTAAAGGGAATTGTAGAGCCTATGGATCATACGGTGACTGGATCTAAGAGAGGGTTAAGAGGTTGTTATTACCGTTCCTAATCAGAGAGCCTTTATATCCTTTGGTAGTTGAAGAACCAACGACAGTTGACATTCAGAAGTATAACCAACTGTGGGCTGAGAAAGAAGAACTTCGCAAAGCGAATGAAGAGCTGGAAAAGGAGGTTATTCAGCTAAGAAGTGAAAAGAATGAAGCCACCTACCTGTCCAAGATGAAGACAGAGACTCTGAATAAGATGGGTAGAGAATTGACTGAATAAATTCGCGTCAGAGAACGACTTGGTCAAGACATAAGGAGTATGGGCAATGCCCTCAAAGGCAAGAAGAAGGAGCTAGAAAAAGCGTACCTGGAGATATCAAAGTTCAACAATCAGTGGAATGCAACTTTGACCAACAACAAGGAAAGAGAAGATGAGCTTCATCAGCAGATTGATAGGTTGAATACTAAACTCCGGATAAAAGACGAAAAAAGATCTAGGTGAATCATCTCTTCAGTACGAAAGCGATCGTAAGCTACGAGAAGCTTTTGCAACGTTGGGGGAATACAAGGTGGGAGCAGGATTAAAGAAGCCCATACTCGAAGATTCTATCGGAGAAGGTACTTGGGAGGAGTATGCTCAAAGTCTGAAGGATGTCATCAACAGGAGAGAGTTGCTTATTCAGGCGTTGGTTGCACGACCTAAACATCCGGACACGAAGAGGTTGTTAGAAGAGTTCTAGACTCGCTACCATGGCTGATGCAGTTCTCTTTGTTTCTTCTGCTTTTTGTTTTGGTCATTTATCTTGTATTTCGACCATCACCAGGATTGTTGGATGAGGTCGTGTTGATCACTCTATTGTATTCCTTGGTGCTTTGTACGCTGACATTTGATTCTCATTTTATTTATGAGAGGGGTTTGTGGCTCCATCTGTTGGCTCTTCACTCTCTTATTGTTCTGTGGAACTAGAATCAAGAGGAGAATTTCCCTGAATCATATTTGCATGCTTGCATTTTGCATCATCATCATTTTTGCATTACAGGTGTTCCTGATTCCTTAACCTTATTGTTGCACCCCAAAATTTGACTAACCTCTTTTCTTAATCTTTGGCTTATATTTCATTGCATTCTAGCATCTTCCATTTTCATAGCATATTTTCTTACAGGGGATCAAGTGTTTGTATGTTTCCTATCTAAGAGGAGAGCCTTATTGACCACAAGCTCAAGTAGAGGCATTGGTAGAGGTTGTTATGTGGTTGTCATCATCATGAAGATATCTGAGCTCCTAGAGATGAGGGGTGTGTCACAACATTATCAAAGAACCATCAGAAGGTTGTCAAGGGGTCCATGAGATTTCATCATTGGTAGAGGCATGAGGTAGAATCTTGTTGAGTACCTCAGAGGTCATGGTGGAGTTGGAATGGTCACTCAGTTCATCTAAACAATGCCTAGGAAAAAAAGTATGAAATTAGGGTTTCAATTTTAATTAGGATAAATTGTTTTTGGGAGCAAGACTTGTTTCCATGGTCTTCCATATGTTCTAATGTGTTTGGAGGATGGGATATTGATCATCAATTTTAATCATAAGGGCTTCAATTGATCCGTCAATTGAAAATCAAGAGATTTAGAGGAAAAGTCAACTGTGTAGTGAAAAAGTCAACTCCTGACTTTTTGAGGTCAAGACATGATCCTTAAGTTCAATATGACCAATGGATGGAATTTTATCAAGAAAATTCAAGGGAATCATGAAAAATCAAGAGTTGTTGAAAGTTGTCATTTTGGGGAATTAGGGTTTTAGAACTTTCTATTTATGGAAAGTTTTATTGTTGAAGTAGTCATCTTCAAGGCCATTTTTCATCATGATCAAGGTTTCAAATGGACTTGGGTCAAACATAAAAGTTGTTCCTTGTATTTCAAGCTTTCTTTTGAGTACCAATTCATCATCATATGATACTTTGAGCTCAAGTTATGATCAATCAAAGTTGGGGATTTCAATGACTTCAAAACTGTTAAGTTTGGACAGATTTTTGCACCACTTTGCAAGTCAATTTCCAACAAGTTCTTGATGTCAAGTTAGAATTTATCCCAAATGAAAGTTATAGATCATGTTCCAAGCTTTCCAAAAAGTCCTAGAAGTCCTCCATATGATTTGTGAAGCTCAAGTTATGGATGCGCAAAGTTGAGAAAAAATAAGCCAAATCCCTCGTTGGGATAAATAACAAACGGTGACGACTCTTCTGTCATTGCCGGAACCTTTCTTCGCAGTAGCGACACAAAGATCACGGGGCAGTTGATCTAGGGCGAAGACTACGTGTTGGTCTTCACTACGCCACGTAAGCGCTGGTAGTTACTTGTGTTGTTGGGCTTGACAATCCGGCCCAATGCAATGTAACTGTTAGCCATGCGTTGGAGTCATATTATAATACTCTCTTTTACTAGAGGGTCAGGTATTTTATTCTCCACACATTTTCTTTGTACTTGCTCTCTCTAGTTCCGGTACTTACTGAGGCATCAGAGCATTTTGCAGGTACGCCCCCCTTTTCTCCTCCACAACTCCGATAAAGACAGCAGATCACACGCGTGACATGTCACTGACACCTTTCTAATCAGGCGAGATCAGTACTATAGAGTTTTGAAAAGAAGAATGTGGATATATGATATAGAAATGCATATTTATGGTGTTAAGGTGGTGTTAGGCAAAACCATCTTCAAGAAGGTTATTACTTTTCAAAGTTAAACTATAATTAAATAGGACTTTATAAATAAATTTTTAAATTAAATCATGTCTCTACGTTTTCATAGTTAGATTAAATAAACCTCCAAATATTTGATGAGACACTTCTATTGATAGGTTAGAATGTGAAGGAAACAATCATAAAAGTAAAACAAACAAGTACTACTTCGAGTAGATAATGAATAGCTATGATATGAGCCACAAACAGCACCAGCCATTCTCAAAGAAAAACAGCAAAGGTTGTGGAATTCAAAATGAGTGAGCAGAAACCCATGAACCATAGGTCATACATTGATTGTGTTATTAAGTATAAAAGAAACAATGAAGCGAAAACAACATAACACGATGTTTGATCACGAAGTTCGTTAAGTATGCTTATGTTTCCGACTACAAACCAATACATCCCTGTCTTGTTGATAGTAGAAAAAAATAGAATTTACACTTTCTCTCATATATAAATACTAAGATCCAAATTACAGAAATACCTTATAGCAAGCATACAATGTGTAACCTTACAAGAGATAACCTTATCCTGCAAATATCAGATAGAGAATGTTCCACGTAGGATAGCCTTACTGTGTCCATTAGTTTTCAGCTGAGTATACCAAGACACTCAAATTTCATACAACAACATCCTTAACAACATTAGTTCACAACAACAACCTTAATTTGAAGTTGAAGATATATTCACACATGTCACTCCTCCAACTCAAACTAGCCCCTAGTGCATTCACATCTCTCTCTCATCCCTCTCATAGATTCAGACCCAACAGAACAATCAAAATTAGAGCAGTTGGCACTGTCCCTGATCAGAAGAATGCAGAAACCACACAATCTAACAGCGAACCACCCTCTATCGGCTTTGCATTTGTCAGTGTAAGTTCATTTTTACAGCAAAAAATCACCAACACTATGTGCCTCGGCCTCGGCACATGAATTGTCTCTGCCGTCTTTTTATCGTCCGAGTTGTTAATAATATATCTAATCATTGTTTTGTTGGTCAGTCAGTGTTGCTACCAGATGGAACAGCAGATGTGCATTATCGTTCTGCTACCGGTGGCCAGAAGCTTAGGAACATAATGTTGAATTCTAATATTGAACTCTATGGCCCTTATGTAAATCGCAACAACTTTTAACAATTTCAATGTTAATCAATAATGATTACATGCTAATTATTCTCTTGTTAATTTTTCCAGGGTAGACTGTTGTTAAATTGTGGAGGAGGTGGAACTTGTGCAACATGTATGGTTGAGGTTAGCTGTAATTGATAACCTTCTTCAGTTTTTCTAGCGAAAACGTACCTTGTAAGTTGGAAGTATTGATTTTATTTTGAATTGCTATTAGGTTCTTGAAGGGAAGGAGCTTCTGAATCCTCGCACCGAAAAGGAGAATGAAAAATTAAAAAGGGTAAATAAGTAACTGAATGTTAACTCTTGTGACAGGTAAAATTACAGTTCTGATATTTTGTCTTTTTTTCTCTTAGAAACCAAAGACTTGGAGATTAGCATGTCAAACAGTTGTTGGTGAAGCAGATTCCACAGGGGTGGTTAGTAATATTGGTTTTCTGTTCTGATAAATTTATGTTTGATTTATGTTGTGTTGAGCATTGTATGGGTTTTTCATTCTATGAAATGTAGGTTGTGATTCAACAATTACCAGAGTGGAAAGGACATGAATGGAAATATGAAAAGGGTGATGATGAGTCTGCAGAATCTTCCTGAGAAAAACTTTTATTGCAAATCTTAAAGATAATAATATCTGACAGTTGTAACTAGAAGTTGTAATCTTGAAGATAATAAATCTCTATCTCTTTCAAAATTTGTATGTCTTCAAGCAATACTGAATAAATTCATTAATTGATTTGTGAATGATACAAAGGTTCTTTATACACGAAAGGTTACCGTAGGAATATACAACTAACTTAACTAATTAGCTTTTACTTTTTATAATGCCAAACTTATATATTAAGTACAAACCAGAGAACCTTTGTGAATGTGCCGGTTTTTTGCTTAGTTCAAACTGAAATCCAAATGCAACCGCCAACAAAAACGTCCTAAATTTTCAGTGATTAAATGGCTCCACGCCACGATCAAATGAAATGTTTAGTAATCATGCATGATGCTCAACAACAAATTTAAATAGGCCGAAAAATTGTGCATTTAATTTGTGAACTCATTGTACATAGTACAAAAATGCTATTATTCTATTTCGATTCCGCAATCAATCGCTCCTATACAAACTTTATGTTATTTGACCAGAGATTCTTGGGCAAAATATGAGACAAATTGATTTCAGATACTCCACCCCCTCCTAGGCATCTGAATCATCCTGCTTAAACTTGCCTGAACCAGGAGAAGAAGAAAAATCAGCCTTCTCGTTCTAAATATTGATAGCTCAAAAAAAGAAGAGACCGAAATGGTGGGAGCACCTTGCAATGATCGCAGCTGCACTCAATGTGAAAAAAATTAGGATGACAACTGAAAATAAACCAAGAAGATCAAAGCAATCCCTCTTCCTCCTCAAATGCCATTGGACGTGGAGGTTGATATCCATAGATTATGTCATAAGTTTTTATGGGATCTAGTGACACACAGCCATTTCCTTTGGACATCCGGATCATCACTTGATACGGTTGGCACATGCCAACTTCCATTGGCTGATTCCTGCAGTTATATTAGCAAATATAATTAAGTTTCAAACCTTACATACATACACTGGTGTGATTTAACATTTAAAGCAAAGCCAGGGAAAACGGGTAACAGCAATATCATTTGCTAGGTTGAAACTTGAAAGAGGAAACGTGCTCTTCTAAATCCAATGGAACAAAACAAAACAGTTGGGCGATCATCTAACCTGAATAACTATTGAATATCGAGGAGGTAGAATTAGGGAAACTCCACGACTTGAGGCTGATACTCGAACCTGCAAAACCGAAAAAGGCATCATTAATAGAAGATAGCAAGCAAAACAGTACTTGCTTCCGGACTTGGATAGTCAATAGTTCATACTTCATATGTTTATAACTAACTTCTCCGATAACAATATAGAATACCTGGTGCTTTTCTTTCCACCTTGGGAAAAAATTAGAACCCAATAGTTGGAACAAGTGGTCCCTCATCTCGTCATTCGTCAAAAGTAAGCAGTTACAACTAACAGCAGCATATAACCAGTACCTGCAATAAACAATTCATAGTTTTAGTACAGCTAAGTTGTTGGAGGACTGCACAGTACACAAATATACATATAATGAAGAATCTATATTCCTATCAATGTTCTAACTCATGTCATGGAAGCACTTCATTACCAGTCGTCATTGGAACCTTGGGGAGTAGCATAAAGAACACCGCTATTTTTCCAATTTTCTATAAGTCTCTTGTAACTTGCATTCCGAGCAGGACCACTAGTTACTCGATTTACATGCAAAATTATAAGTGGCAACCTCTTTGAAGGGCTCAGTTGACGCAATTGTTGAACAACATAATTAAGCTACAGCAAAGGGGAAAGAACCATTAAGTAACTGCTTCTGTAATGTGCTAATAAAGTCAACAAATTTCCCAGTCACCTGACGAAAGCTGAATTCAGCAATGTTGGCAAGTCCTACATTTGCACCATCAACAACAGCATCGAATGGACCATTCTTCTCAAGCCATTTCTGCAGAAGTTAAACTTCTTTATCATTTCCTCCTATACTTCTAAGTAAGTAAACCAAGCTTCTAAACAAAACATTGAATAAAAATTTACCTGAAAATGATTAAATTTGGCCATAGGTTCTTTCTCGCAAGCCAATTTAGTCAACGAATCAGCAAAGTTTTCGGTCTCTTTTGTATCAATATCAATGCTCACGAGCTTCTCATTGCACGAAAGACACATTCCATCCTCATCCACGTGAGTGTGAACAACCTTCCATTGCCCACTTCCAAGCCACCCCTGACCATGCCATCCCCCACCTCCCCTCACAAACCCTTCTCTTATTTTCTCATCCTCCCATTCCCTCTTCCCAATCTTCCCCGCATACTCAGACTTAAACCAATCCTCAACAACCTTCAAAGTCGACTCAGACACCTGCCTAACCACCGCACGCAACCGATGCAATATCTCATACACCTTATCTTCATTCCTCGTTTCAACGCTCACCTCCAAAAGCGCACAAAGCTCAGGCTCCTCCGCCATAACACCCGACTCAATCATATCAGCATCAACTTCATAAGCCTTCGCCGCATCCCCTCTCTTACAAAATCCATAAAGAGCAGGACTATAAGATCTCAACTTGGGCGCAATCTCAACACTCTTCATTTGCTTCAACAACTCAAAAGCCATTTCAGGATCTTCCTTAGCAGCAGCCACCCTAGCAGCATTAGTGAAAGTAGCTTCATTCGGTATAACTTTATCATTCAACATCTGCTGAAAAATCTCAAACCCTCTCTGAAGACCCAAATGAGCAGCATCACCACCAGATTGAACACTACAAAGGTATAATAATCTATTGTAATGGTGGAGATTGAGGGGAACACCTGAATTGCGAGCTTCATCGTAGAGATGAAGTGCTTGAAGAACATCACCGGATTTAGAGCAATTGTTGAGCTTTCTTTGTAAAACTCCCTCGGGTGATTCGTTAGCGGCTTTTCGTCTGGCTTTGATTGAAAGCTTGATAATTGCTCCATCGGGTGTTGGAGGTAGAGTGTTGATGGCGGAGGTAGTGAAGGGAAGAGCAGGATGGTTTATGGTGTGTTTGAGAGAGTAAGAATGAGAATTGGAAGAAGAGAGAAATGGGCGATGGGTGAGAATGGAGAAAAGGGGGGTGAGTTTAGCCATTGCAGCGCTTCCACGCAACATCGCAGTTCATTAATTAATCAAATTTTCGGTAAACAAACAACATCAGAGTTTGAAGTACTACTACGTTGTTGTTGTTGTTGTGTTTCAAAACCCTATCCTTATCCCGCGTTAGTTATCACTTCCACTTTCGTTTCTTGTTCAGCCCTGTTTTTCTTTAAAAAAGAAATGAATTTTCATTTTAGACGAACACTTATGTAAACTTTGAATTTAGTTGGATAATTAGGTAACTTTAAATTTACTTCATCGAAATAATAATATTCAATCTCATATTATATTTTAATATTATTTTATTTTTAAAATTTTATATTTATTTATATCAGTGACGCACATATTTAAATTTTTTAAAGAAAAATAGGATTAATAAATATAAAAAATATAATTTAATTTACAAAAAAAATTGGATTAATAAATATTAGTAAATATAAAAAATATAATTTATATTTTAAAAAAATAGAATTAATACTTAGAGACACCGGTTGGTATTTTTTTTTTAACTATTTTGTAATAATTTAGTTTTTAAAAAAAATCAAATAATAACATAATATTTGTAAATATTAATTTAATTGTATAAATAAAATTTAGTAACATTAATAAATATATTGTTTTCGTGTTTGAATTCATACATTACTTTAAATATATTTACTTTTATTTTCTTTAATTATAATATAATTGTAATAATTCGTGCTTTCGCACGGATTATGATCTGAATAGTCATACATTCACACGGGTACTGATGAATTATGTACAATTATTTACATAATATAATAAGAATTGTTCTGGCCTGGGCCCCTGCTTGGCCTGGGCCCACTTATGCTTGATGAAAGGCCCAAATAAGTTCTCCTCATCTGTGTCGAGCACGAGGCTCCCGTCGGCCAGGCATTCTCTGCCGGGCAGAACGCTTCCCCCGTCGGGCAGAAAGACGTGTACCTCACACGTTTTCCATGTGCTCCCCTCCGCGGGGACACGTCATCAACCAACTACCCACCTCCAAAAGAGCAGCTCAACCCACTCTCCAGAGTTCACGGAGCAGTTGAACTAGGACGAAGACCACGTTCTGATCTTCACTACACCACGTAAGCCCTAGCAGTCACTTGGGTTGGGTCTGACCATCCAGCCCAACTCAAATGACCATTGGCCCTGTGCTGGGGTCTCTCTATAAATACCCTCTTTCACAAGAGGGTCAGGTATTCAATTGTCATCCTTTCTTCTGTATTTGCTCTCACTCTGTCCAAATTCCTTACTTTGGCATCGAATTGTCTTGCAGGTACACCCCCTTCTCCTCTTCAACACCGGTGAACAGGCAGTAAGTCAGAGACGCGTGGCAGTCCAGTGATTCCCTTCTGATCAGGTCAGATCAAGAATGAATTTTGTTTTTACATTATTTATAAAAATATTTTGATGAATAAAAAACCTGTTTCCAAAAATAAAAGTATTTGGATCATTCATACATTTTTTTCACATCCCCCTCCTCCTCTTTCACACCCAGCATCACAGACATTTGTCCTTGACCCATCTCAGGTTCTGATTGTTCGGTAAGATCAAAGGCGTCGTCTGTGGGAAACTTATTATCCCCGTCTTTTCTCTCTTCATAAGAACACAAGACCAAACACAATTCTTCAACTTTCTGATCATGGATGTCCGTGACAACAACTTGATGCTCACAACTCTATTTTCCTCCCCGTCAGCAAGACTGATGTTGAGGGGGCCTCCACCTCTCGTGGCGGCGACGTCCTCCGACGAAGGGATGGAGCCACAGCTTCTCCATCCCCTGTTCGTGCAGATCACAGTGAAGCCCCACTTGTCCCGCAGCACCTGCCAGTTCCAGTTCCGCCCAACGTCGACCCGACCATGGTGACCCTTCTCGAGGTTCTCAATAAAACCAACCTCCTAATCCTCAACCAGAGCACGAGAATCGAAGCATTGGAAGAATCATGTCGTCCAAGATCCCCTCCACCTAGGAAAGAGCGACAGAAACCGTCAGACGCCTTCGAAACCAGAGACCCTGAACGTCCGCAAACGCGGGCAGATTTCTCCCCGGAACCAGCAGTCCTCGCAACACAAGAGGACCCGTAAAGGGCACCAGGTAGAATCCCAATGTTCTCCACCCAGATCCAAGGGTCGAGCACAAACCCTGTCTCCACGAAGAGACCTTCGTTCCACCTATAGACGTGACGCTCGCTCCCCCTCTTGGACCAGCAACAGCAGCGACGACGAGCCTCGCGGCCTGTTGTCCCAGGAAATCGTAGCCATGCGCCTCCCAAAGGGACTAGAGAAATCCCATTCTCTAGGCACATACGACGGAACAACCGACCCTGACGAGTACATCGAAAACATCAATGCGTTGCTTGACTATCGTGGCGTCTGGGACGCCTTTAAGTGCAGGTTATTCCCGACCACACTCAGGAAGGGGGCAATGACCTGGTACAAAGGACTCCTTAACGACTCCATCACCTCACGAAGGCAACTAGGGAGACTCTTCTCCAGACATTTCACGGCCTCTCACCGACATCCGAAGACCGAAGCCTCCCTCGATGCCATCATTCAGGGCAGGAACGAACCCCTACGAGCTTACATTGAAAGATTCAATAAGGAGGTCGTCCAAGTCTCCACCACTGATGACATGAAAAGGTTTCTGTTAGAGCGCGGGTTTCGTCCCCACACAAATTTTGCTAAACCTGTAGGCCTCAGGCCCCCTACAACACTTGATGCTTTTCTCCTTAAAGCTCAATCGTACATTCAGTACAAGGAAAAAGAGGTTGTCAACTCTGCTCCTGATTCCAGGTACAGGGAGAATGCACGTCCGTCCAGATCCGACGAGCCCTCGACATCCCGTCGAGGAGATAAAAAACGAGAAGACCGTCCCCGTGAGACCCGGGACAACAAGGGAACCTCCGATAGGTTCCACGAATACACTTCCTTGACAATCTCGAGGGAGAAGATCCTCATTGAGTGCGCCAACTCAGAATTTTGTCAGGCAAGGGTTCGGTTCCCAAAGAAGATATCGTCCAAACCCAAAACTAATAAGTCCAAATACTGCCGGTTCCAGAAGATCCATGGCCATACGACGGAAGACTGCATCCACCTGAAGGATGCCATTGAAATACTCATCAGGGACGGGCATCTGAAGTAGTTCGCCAAGCGAAAGGAAGCTCACCGACCAGATGCCCAAGAAGCCCACTTCTTTCGAGGAAACCAGCCTACAGGTCACCATGAGCATCTCACGACCTGAAGATTTTTGCATTCCTGAGGGGCTCACCGCCCCTCCATATTTTATTGCACACATCCCGTGGGAGACATTCCCCTTCTCCATGGTCATCTCCCGAGGAGGTTTCAATAGAGTGACGGTAGGATTCGTCAAGAGGAAATTTGAGCACCTCCTCAGCAGCAGCTCAAACCGGAGTTCCACCCTCGACAAGGTCCGGGGAGAGACTGTCCCCATTTGCTTCTACCGCAGGGAGCTCCTCGGAGGGGCCCCCAATGCCAGCATCCCTCTGCTCATAAGGACCCAGGTGGTAAATTTTGATGTCCAACGAATCCTCGTCGATCAAGGCAGCTCCGTCGATATTATGTACTCTCAACTGTTCTCCACACTCCAGCTGGATGAATCACATTTTACTCCCTACGTGGGCTCTGACCTACAAGGCTTTAATGGATCCATGACAAAGCCCTGGGGTTATGTTGAGTTGATTGTGATCTTCGGATTTATAGAGACGGCCAGATCAATCAAAGTACAATTCCTGGTGATAGACTACCCCGTCATTGTACCAGTGTATCTTCGGGAGACCGACTCTGGCCGAGTTGGTGGCCGTATGCTCAACAGTACACCTGAAGATGAAATATTACACCTCTAAAGGCCTCGTCACAACTCTAGACAGGGACATAGAAGTCGCGAGGAGATGCTTTAAAGCAGCGTCCAAGGGACTGAACGCAATCACCGCCAGACCGAATACTCCTGCCCAGTCCCCTCCACCCAGCAGCTCCGACGAGGCAAATCCTCTCCCTCGCGTCGATTTCATCGACCTCGACAGCCGCTTCCCTGAAGACGACCAGAAGACTCAGAGAGCAAAGGGAAAAGAGATCCAGTCATCGTCGAGCATCCCTTCCAATAGCAGCGAGGCCGCCCATCCAATGCGCCTCATCCCAGATGGAAAATTCGAGCTTGTCCCACTCGGCGACGACCCCAAGCGAGGAGTGGAGATTGGGGTCAGCCTCCCCGAGCTAGTGAGGAAACAACTGAGAGCGTGCCTCCAGAAGAATGCATACATGTTTGCGTGAAGTGTAGCGGAGATGCCCAGACTGGACCCTGATGTGGCCTGTCACCATCTCACCATCGACCCCGCCGTTAGAGCACGACCTTCATGACCGAATCGGGAAACTATTACTATAACGTAATTCCCTTCGGCGTGAAGGATATTGGCGCTACCCACCAAAGGATGACGAACAAGGTCTTCTAAGGAGAAATCGGGGACATGCTCAAAGTCTACATGGACGACATGATCTTAAAGTCTCACGAAGAATCCGATTACACGGCCCACTTGAGGAAGGTTTTCGAGCAGGCCATGAAATACATTATGCACTTTAATCCGGAGAAGTGCACGTTCGGGGTACGAGCGGGAAAGTTCCTCAGTTTCTATCTAACCGAACGAGGAATTGAAGCTAACCCCGACAAGTGCAGAGCCTTCTCCAAGTTCCCCACGCCGGACTCAAAGAAGTTCATCCAGTCACTCAATGGGATGCTCGCATCACTTTCCCGCTTTGTAGCCAAATCTTCCCAGCACGCCCTCCCTTTTTTCAAACTCCTCTCTAAGGAAGCCGCATTCAAATGGACAGAGGAATGTGACAAAACTCTCCTCCACTTGAAGCAAGCCTTATCTGCATCTTCAGTCCTCTCCCGACCAGAACATGGGGAAACCCTTTTTCTCTATCTCGCCATTGCAACCGAGGTTGTGAACGCAACCCTCATTTATGAAACGCCTGAGGAGCAAAAGCCCATCTACTTC